CTATTTGAATCAGAAAATTCGAGATTAAATAAATAATTACTATTTGAATCAGAAAATTCGAGATTAAATTAAAAAAAAAAACCATAGTTAAATCAAGCTTATTTAATAAAAAAAACTTTTACAATTTTTAATAAAATAATTTACCCACACTACACTACTCAATGAAGTATTAAAAAAACTTGAAAATTTTTTATTGTAAAATAAATTTACGATTAAACTGCTCTAAGTTATAAAGAAATATTGTTTAATTGGTTAGGGGAAAAATTGTCTTTTTCACCTGGTAATGAAAAGTTAGGGAATTCACTTTTTGGTTGAATCCTTCCTTACCGATCGTAGTATAAAAGTTGTCCTCGATGGAAAGCACTCCTCTTCATATCCTGTAACTTCAAGGGGTTCCTTAAGGTTCTTTTATTAGCTCTATACTAATTAAGTATAATAAATGAACTCTTACTTATCAAAATCCATTAAAAATCCATCAAATTAGCATCTGCTAAGGTTGCATCTCTTGGTCGTGATCGACACTTTGTTACTCCAGATTCGATTCTTTATTTCTATAAATTTCCAAATCCGTCCTTGTATGAAATACTGTTGCCATATCTGGTGCGGATCTTCCAACGATGTCCTTTCTCTTTTAGACAAGGTGCAAAAACCTGCTTTTGCTGCCAACCTCCAAACATTATCACATCGTTGTAAGGTTGCTTCTCTTTCTCTTTTCTACAAATACTATAATGGGTACTGCTCTAAAGAGTTAGCGTCTATTGTGCCATCTTCTAAAATTCATTATCGTGTTACTTTTCATTCAAATAAATCTCACCCTTTTTCTGTGACTATTTCTAAGTGTTTTAAATACTCTTATTTATCTAGTTTTTTCCTTCAGTACTTTGGAATTCGCTTCCTTCATATTGCTTTACTGATTCATAAAATGACTGATTCATATACTGATTCAAATTTAATGGCTGCCATGTTTGCTGATGAAACTAACCTTTTTTTATCGCATAAATGCATTCTAACATTATTTCAAACTATGAACATCGAATTAGAGAAAATTTGCGAATGGTTCAAAATAAATAAATTGTCACTAAATATAGATAAAACAAAATGGTCACTCTTTCATACGACTTCTAAAAAGAAACTACTGCTTCCTAATTTGTCCTTACTTTTTATAGACGAAATTCAAATAAAAAAGGAAATAAATACTAACTTTTTAGGTGTTCATGCTGATGAAAACAAAATTGCTAAAAGTATAGGAGTAATATATAAGGCTAGAAATCCCTTAAATAAACAAAGTTTAACACAGTTATATTATTCTTTTATCCATTGTCATTTAAACTATGCAAATATTGCTTGCTATAATGCCAATAAAAGTCAACTAAAACCGCTTTATCGTCTGCAGAAGCATGTTGCTCGTCTTATCAACTTTAAAGACAGAATTATTCATGCTAGGCCTCTTTTATCTGAAATGAAAATTTTAAATATATTTCAGCTCAATGTTTTTAATACTCTTTGTTTTATGTACAAATGTAAAATAAATTCCTTCCTAGTTTCTTTTCATAATTTATATACCTTAAAAGACAAAAAAAAAAAAAAACAATAAGAGAAATGTCAATTTAGTTCGGCATCCTTTTTATCAAACTAATTTTGGAAAGCAAATATTGCATTTCGCGAAGCTTTTCGTTGGAATGAAATAGTTTTAAAACATTTTGATTTTTCTCTGGAATGGAGTTACCACTCATTTAAAAATAAACCTAAAGAAATAAATTTGGCTCTGGATAATATATTTTTATAATTTTAAACGTTTAATAATTTCATGTAATATTTGATGTATTTACCGAGTGGACACGGACGTTAAAAAGACGTCTTTTAAACGTCTTATACACGTTCTGAACGTCTTTTGAACGTTTTGGATGTGTTTTGAACGTTCAAAAGACGTCTTTTTTCGGTCCCACTGGGTATGCTGTTAAGTTTTTATAGAGATATAAAACTATATTTAAATATGATTTATTAAGATTGTAAAATACGAGCGGTTCTTGATGACAAGACCTGACGTTCTTCTGCGAGTCTCTGCGTTCTTTTTATTAAAATAAATACCTATACTATCTTTTACTTAGTTCTTATTGTGTGATTTTGTTATTTAAGTGTTAACAATTTTATTGTACAACGATTTACTAAAATGTTTAAGAAAAGAACAAAAAAAAAAAAAAAAAAAAAAAAATTTGCAATCTTTTAACTCTTCTGTCAGTTGTTGTCTTGTTTTAAAAACTTAATCTTTTTTCTTCCAGTAAATTCCAACTGTAATAGTGGTTGCTTGCAGCCTTGTTGGAAAAAAAAAGTCAGTATGATGTTCTCAAGACGTCCAACGAACGTTATATACCCTCCAAAAATGAAATCTTTAGTAGAAAAGTAAATTTCTTTCTTAATGCGTGCTTTTAATAATAAACATAGAGTAAATATATTTATATAACCAAATGATTGCAATGATTTTCAACAACTCAGTTTTTAACTATCAAAATGTTTAAAAACCAAGATGTCGAAAATCAAATTGTTAAAAATCAACTATCACATGGTAACACATAAAAGCACGGATAAAATATATTTATCAAAAGCGCGATTCTTGAAAAAAAATGTTTTTGGGAGTCAATATGTCAACCCTAACCTTGTCGCCCCCTACACATTCCTTTGGCCCCCTAACGACACTAAACCTCAATCCGCCACTGATTAAATGATTAAGCTTAATCATTTGAAATATAAATTATTTTATTGGCTGTTAAATATTTTTATTTTTAAAGTTTTCTATTTTTGCAAAATTTAAGTGTCTATTATCTGATGCTCGTTTAAATTAAAAAAAAAAACTGTTTTATTTTATGTAGGTGTAAACTTAAGATTTAATATATTCATAATAAATACCTTTTAATATTAACCGAAATTGTTTTAAAGTTTGCACGTGTATGGGAAACTTTGAAAACGCTTAATCAAATACGCTCGTACCTTCCGGATAAAAAAAAATGAGACCGCGTATGCAAAACTTTTGTTCGTATTTTTACAATTTTTGGCGAGACATACAATAATTTTTTTTCTATTTCATGAAACCAATAGTTTGATTTATCAGGTGTAAATATATTCACCAAAAAATCTATGTGTTTCTGATTTACCAAAAAATATTTATTTTAGAAATTAAGTCGTCAGCGTTGAGACTTGACAATCTTTTTAAAGCGGGTTATAAAGACCTAAAGTCTTTGATGAAATTAACTGGAATACTTAAGCCAACAAGTTGCAAGATATTTATAGAAAATAAGTGAAATAATAAGCTTAGAGAGAAAGAAAGGAAATGGTAGACCAAGAAAACTTAATTTAAAGGACCAACAACAATTGATTCAATTAGCTATGAGTGTTAATGCATGTCAGTGTATTTTTTTTTTATACCTAAGTGTCAATGCAAGTCGATGTACAATATAAAGTTAACAATTCAGGAGAAAATGGTAGTTTTTTTTCAATATATTTTAAATAGCAAATCAGTATTTTTGTCGAAAAAATTAAATACAGTACACGTGGCAATTAAATAATTATATAAAAAATTGTTAGTATTTCGTAGTAGAACACTCGTGTAACCATTATTTTGGAAATAGTCAGTAATTGGTAACGTTTGGTATACGCACCAAAAAACTAACAAAATTTAAATTAAATCTTTAACTATTTAATCAATCAGACTGAAGATTTATCCCGAGTTTAGTGTGGCCATAGACTTCATTTCAAACATCAGTCAAGATAAGCTGAATGGACTCGATTATTTCTATTGAGAGCAAAAAACAAAGTCGTTAAATATGAAGAAGTTGAGGCTTGAATTTGCTCAAATCAAAGCCAGAAGAGTGCCACTTCCAAAACAATAAAACAATTCTAATTTATGTTTTGATATATTTTTGAATTTTCCATACTTTTATTTCAAACTTAAAAATTCGATTATATTTTTTCTTTTTATATGTATACAAAAGTAGTCAATACAGTGGATGAATATATGAATAATGCCAGAAGTTAATAAAAGTTTCGTTTTTTTTTTAAGTTTGGACGATTTTTTCTTTAATTAGAGCAACTGTTTATTGAGATTTGAAGAGGTATTTTTGCATTTTTGCTTTCGTTTTTTTAGTATAAATAAAACACTCAACTCGCCTTATTTAAATAGACCATTTTAGTTAATAATTTAAATATAAAAGTGTAAAGTTGTTAAACTGCTTTTTGGGCAAATTTTCACCGATCAACACCATGAAGATAAAAATTTCATTCATTTAAGCCGATTGTTCTCTAATATTTTTAAAAGGTTAATTAAGAATTAAGGCAGCAATTTTTTTTTTTTTTGCACTCACTAAGAAATGCCCGCCAGCCAGATCTGGATACCTGAATGCAAGAAAGGTATAGATATTATGGTTACGAGTAATGCTCGCTAACCACAGTAATTTTATTAACTATTTCTATTGGGAAATTAACAGTTTTTTTGATCGGATCTTGATACTTTTAAGAATACAATTTGATTTGTGCAAATTCAGTCGCGCGAATTATGTCAAGAGCTCTCTTCGAACCCTGGATTTTGATTTAATCATGTAGAAGAATATACTTAACATCAAGAGCAACTCTGTAAGTTACTTTTAATAAAAGAAGAGTTTAATTTATTGTTAACTCTGCTACCTTAAAGTATGATGTAAAGTTATTTAATTTTTGTTGGATTATGTACCATATATACATTACTATTACAGATATTTTATATGTTTTTGCTGTTTTAAACTTTTTAAAATTATTTAAATTTTAATTTAAATATTTATTTTTGTAACCTAAAATGCTTAAACGGTCTGAGACTCCCTCATTTTTACCCTTTGACTCATTTGTTTTCATTTTTTTTCCAATTTTATAAACACTCTTTTCTTTTTTTTATGGAACAAGTACTCTTAATTAAAAAAACAAGTTTTTTAAGTGCATTTAAAATGAATAAATGGATTAAGACCCAATAGTTTTACCTTTTTGTTTCAGTTGGCACTTTGATCGCATAAAAACAACAACTTTTTTCTATTGTTACAAGACAAATACTCTTGAATAAAAAAGCGTTTCATTAGAGTGAAACGACATAAAACCTGGTGGTTTTTGTAGCCATCAGTGCTTTATCAAAATAGTTATTTTTTCAGTAGAATAAAACAACTTCTTCACATCCAAATAATTAACTCCTATTCAACAATAAATATCTCATCACTATACTTGTCAAATATCTCATCACTACACTTGCCTTTGAAAATTTTTTGAATCTAATTGGAAAGCCTTCGAGTTCCTCTATAAGACGGCGTAACTATCTGATATCATGACAACTTTGACTGAGGTTGTTTTTGAAATAAAGTTTTCAATTCTAATCTTCATAAAACAGTTTATTTTTTTGTTACTAGATGTGTTTTTTTATAATAACAAGTTTAACAAATCCACAGAAAAAAAAAAAAAAAAATTAAACAAACTTTTAATCTTTGATATACATGATCTATATCACCAACAGAAATTTCTACGTTTTTCAATCATAAAAAAAAAAAAAAATAATTATATAATACTTGTATTATAAGCTTTATAAACTATATTTATATATGACTTATAATTCTGTCAACACATATATGACTTATTAACACATATATATGACTGATAATTCCGTCAAATATCTAGTTGTGCAATAATCCCTCAATCTGATCTTAACACAGATTAAATTTTTGAATGGTTTGATGTGTGGTGAGAATCATGTCATGTACTTTCAAAGTGTATGTTTTAGTAAATGAATGAAAGAAATCGTCAATCGCCAAATTATATTGATGATGAGTGCGCGTGTATTTAATTATATTGGTGATGAGTGCACATACAAGCACGTGTATATACATGTGTGTGTGTTTATACATGTTTCTTACACGCGTAATGTATGCATTTGTCGCTAACGCGTAGTGTAAGTGTCACATAGACGTGCGTGTATGTGTCAAAGACATTAACGCATTTTGTATATTCTACGCAATCACTGATCTATAATAATATAATATAACATTATAGATATCAGTGTAAACAATCTAAAAGTAATTCATTTAAAGTTTGATTTAAAAGCCTTTTTGGGTTTCGCACCCGAAAAATTAACGTTGAAGCTTTATCAAATTATAATTAAAAGTTTTCAATGCTTTTATTACGCCAATAAAGAAAAAGCCATTTGAGATATTTTGAATTTTTAAATTGAATTTTTGCTATGTGTTTACATTATTATTGTTATAAAGCTATAAAATTAATAGTGTGTATGCATTTAAATGCATTTATATGTCTACTTGTCGTTTGTGTTTTTGCTACAAGTTGTGTTTTTTCGCTACAAGATATGTTTTTTTTGCAACAACTTTTTGACAAGTTTTTTTTCTTACTTAGCGCATTTTTTTTATCATACCAGATTGTTATTTTTTTTAGCACTACATTTAACTTGCATTTTATTAATTGTTGTTTTAAAAAAAATAATGATTAAAACATACGAAAAAGTGAGTATGTTTATAAAAAAAATTATTATACACACTTAATAATAATTACCGTTATTAATAGTATTTATCTTATCTAATAATAAAATATTTTATTAGTAGTAAAACAAACGAATCATTTTTAAACTTAACCATATAAAATTTGATTTTATAATGGTTAAGTTTATAAATCTGATTAAGTGTTTTTACAAATAATAGTTACTTTAATCTTGTTCAATATGCATTCAAATACTTGTAATAATTATTTTTTTGTGTATAAGAAAATATAATGCCTGTAAATCAATTTTGCAGAAAGTATACAGTTATTTAAAGAATATTGAATCATTAGGTTTGATTAAGTTATTGAATTAAATCTCAGAGAAAATATCCTTAGACGTGTTAAGACTGCTTGTAATATTTAAAGCTACATTGCTAATTATTGGTGGAAAAAAAAGTTTTACATTGGAAAGTCTGTTAATGAAATAATATTATTTCATATTTTTTGTTCTTTTTGTACAAAAAGCATAAATTATGTTATATCATAAGTCTTTGGTTTCTTGCTGCCTGGCTGTATTTACTTTAATAAAGTATCAAGTGTACAGTCTTTATACTTGATCATAAGAAAAGTATAAAGTTTGTTTAATATAGAAAAATACTTGTAATAAACTGCGACTGGTTTTAAAACCAACAAGTTGGATTGAACTCACTGTAACTTTATTATTAACTTTATTTAAGCTTTGATTATTCAATAGCCATAGATAAGGCTTTAAAAATATTTTTTGCTTCTGATAATTGTTAGTTATTATATTTCAAACAGTAGCAACTCTGTTTAATCAGAATTTTTGTTTAGGTGGATATTTTATCTTTTTCAAGTCATTTTTACTGTTGTTTCCGTTATTATTTGGGATTTAAACATTTTTGACTCAAATTAATTTTTAACTTTAAATTCTTCAAAACTACTTTTGACTTTTATAAGCCTGAACAAAATGCCCTATTTTCTGGTACGCAAATTTGTAATATTAAGACACTTTCATATATTGTCATACATTAAATTTAACCAATTTTTAATCAATTCTAGTTGCGTTTTATTTTACTTATTCTAGAGTTTTAATTTTATCTTTGAAATAAGGAGACCAAATTAGCATTTCAAATTCAAAAAGAAGTTGAACAGTTGTAATATACAATAACCTGAGCATATGAAAATCAATTTGAGAAAAAGTTTACTTTAGCATTCCCATCATTCTTTTTGTTTATTATGGTAGTAGACAATGGCATAGTACACTATATAATGACTAGCCAGGCCAAAGCCGAATTTGCTAAAAGTCTCATTTATTTTCTTTGTTTAATACGCTGAACCAAAGCCTACTAAAACAAAAATAATTAAGAAGGCTTTGGTTGAACTTAACTATTATAAAAAATAATTATGTCTTAAAATAAACCTGCAATAAAATTATCGATTTGATAGATCATTAAAGCTAACAAATGTTTCTCTTAAACTAGGCGTTTGTTTTTAAATTTTAATAAGAACATTTAATAAATATTCATAAGTTAACACTATTTGAAAATTTTAAAATAGAAACAAAAGTAATTAAAAAGCGCTATTACTTTCTAATGAAAAAAAAAAAACATTTTTAAAGAAATTTATTGTAACTCAATTTTTGTGGGTGCCCAATGGCCTGGCCTAGTATACCTTATTGTAAATCCGGCACTGAATGTATATATATATATATATATATATATATATATATATATATATATACATATATATATATATATAATATATATATATATATATATATATATATATATATATATATATATATATATATATATATATATATATATATATATAATTAGAAACGAAAAAAAAAAAAACTTTTATTATGGAACTTTAAGTTTCATGCCTAACGGCAATCATCAACCATATATTACAAAATTTAAAATAGACGTTAAAATTACAATTAAAATTACGGTGGCGTGAGTTCTAATGACTCCATGGAAACAAAACTTTAAGTTTTAAGAGTATCACGTGGCGTAAAAGTGACGTAAACCAATCAGGATCAATCTGCGGTATCATAGGAGGAAATAAGAAATTTATTTTTGTGCCTACACTTCGAGATTATTTCACTTCTTGTGTTAAGTAGGTTTTTATCTTTATACATTAGAATTTGAAACTTCTCGTTCAAACAGTGGTTGCACACTCTTGATGTTGGGTTGTATGGTTTGCAATGTTTAACAATTTTCCATCTGACAAAAAGTGAAAAGTTTTTTTCTTTTTAATTTCCATATTTCTTTAGATAACTCTGTATCATTTTTATATCTAATTGAATTAAAAGATTTGAGATGGTTTGCGTATCGAACTTTAAAAGATGTCTCGCTGAGTCCAAAATACACTTTTTCTTTGCACTCCGGATTGTTTGAACAAAGGGTGGCTTGATAAACAATGTTGTTAGAAAGACAATGGTTGTTCATCAGACATTTGGATTTATCAATGCAGTTGCATGTCTTTTCATTAACTTTTGCTTCCTAATGTAACGTGTTTTTATTGTGAGAGTTGATAATGGATTTTATGTTTGGCATGCAGGAAAAACTTATTTTGATTGTGTTTCTATTAAATATTTTACGGAGTCTGTGGTTAACTGGAAAGTGGTGGTCGATGAGGTTTAAAAAACATTTACCTATTTTTGTTACAACATTTGCACTAAAAGGAGGATTATACCAAATTATTTTACGTTTATGGTTGTTGTTTGAAGATTTTATACTTGGATGGTATGCAAGTTCGCAAGTGTGTCCAGATTTTTTCAGGGCTTCTTGATAAGGAGGAATACTTTCTTTAAAAATCGATTCACTTGACGATGCTGCTGATAATCTTAACTCAATGGTTTTAGGAACACTTTTTATTATACTCGGTGGGTGGTTAGAACTTGTATGTATGTAATTAAGTATATCATCTGCTTTGCGGTAGGGTTTAAATGAACCATCTTTAAGGTTTAGCGTTAAATCCAAATAATTAACTATTTTCAAATTACTTTTAATGGATATTAAAAGATTGTTATTTTTAAAGATTTGTACAAAATGTTTTTTTATCTTTTCCATTTCTTGACCACTTTTGTTTCTAAATATAGCTAATCCGTCATCTCGATACACACCGAAATTATTTTTATCATAAAACTGCGAGATTTGATGTAAAATAAAAATACCAACTAATTCACAAATCTCCGCGCCATCAAAGGCCCCCATAGTGACATCAAATAATCCTCCTTTTTTCTTAATCCAAGCAGTTCCATTGCTAAATAATAACGATTTTCTTGCATGGTATATAAAACTCTTTTGCTCACTATTTATTATTAGATGTTGCTCTGCAAAGAATAACGCTTTTTTCAGCAGGTTTTCATTAATCGATGGATAAAAATCATTAATATCAAAGACTAAAAACTTACAGAATTGTTTTTCTTTTATGGTTTGAAACCAGTGTATAACATTTTGAGTGTTTTGCCATTGGTTCAAAAATTGTTTCTTTCTCAGCTCGGAATTAATGTTGGATAAAATAAATTTTGAAATTCTTCCAATCTCATTTTTCGCAGGAATAATAAGTCTAACAGTTGGTTTATCTAGGAAGTTTTCTTTGTGGTCTTTTAGAGTTATGAAACAATTTTCAGTACCGTTAATTCCAATTTTATTGTATACATCATGGTTAATTAAAATTTGTTTACCTTTTATGTTTATTTGATTTTTGAGTTTAGGGTCAGCCTTTTTATACGTAGAAGTAATTGCATTATTAAGGAGATGGTTGTACTGATCTTTAAATAATTTGTACATGTTTGATGTTTTGTCGGCTAGAGTTAAAGTTTTTTTTGAGGTTCGTATAGATTTTATATCGTTTGCTAATTTTTTTTGAAAAACATAATTGATTTTTCGAAATTTGATGGTTTTAACAAGATTTATTACATTATTTTCGAAAGAACACATTTCTTTAATTTGCGGAGGACATTAAGAAGAGTTAATACCGTAGTTTACGTAATCTTCAGAATTCTTTTC